AAAGACGATGGAGGGGTAGAGTGCTGGGGGATGAAAACGGTAAGTACACCAGTAGGGAGCATGCAGACATAACGTTGTGTGGTCGGGGGATCAAAGCCATCAATGGAGTCGGAGAACTTGTGAACAGCGCGTCCTGGAAACTTACTCATCTTGGGCTATGTGCTACATGCATTCGTACCCCCTTGTCTCGTGTGAAAAGAAAGCTTGACTACGAAGAAACAAATTACCGATACACTATATATGTTCTCTTGTAGGCGGTTGGGAGCTGGAAGGGGGGGCTACGCCACACAAAATCGTTCTGTGCGAGCGATGTGTTTGTATACCATAATTGTTGGGGTTGCACCCCTTGTTGTTCTCCACGTCGCTCTCGGGCGTCACATGCAGTCCGGGCGCATCGAGAGGCATCAGAAACGTTATGCGCGGTGCTCTCAGCACTGAGGCACATCAGTGCAAGACTACCAACCCAGTGTGTCCCCACCAACATAAGAATCATTCTGCGATCGTTCAGATTGCGAAAGTTCTGTCCATGTCTTCCTTGTACATTTCCAGTTTCTGATGCCACGGTTACCCTGATATCGTCCCGACGATGCAGCTGAACAAGACAGGCGCCGTCTACGAGGAGGTGTCTTCCGCAGATTTTCACACGTGTGCTGTGGACGAGAACGGCGAGGTGGAATGCTGGGGGAACGCGCTACAGGCCGAGCTAGTTCCCGACGGCTTCCAGGCTGCTTAGTATCGTTCCTGCTGTGCTACGACGACACCGTGCGGACACTTAAGGAGCGGAAGGGGTCGGTTTCCCTGCCATCGCGTGATGTGCTAGCCGATGTAGGCTTCGCGAGAGCACGCACGATTCTGAGAAGGTACTTCCGTTACCGCTCGTGACTGGTTGCCCCGTGTTAAAAAGCCGAGCGCGACTCGTGCCTCTTGATTGATGCGCCGCAGTGTGGGGTTGTTTCAACATGTAGCCCGAAAAGAGTAGGTAGTCGCAGCGGGCAGAGGTTTGCTTATCGAGAACACGTGCAGTGTCATTCCCTAAAACATACGCGAACCTCACATTCGCATCTTCCGACACGTCAGAAACGGCATCCCTGCTACCTTTGCTGCCAACTGGGCGGACGACGATACAGCCATACCCGGCAATCTTGGTCGCCCGCATGGCAGGGACAAGTGCAGCTAGCAACGTCCAAAAATCAAGGGTACAGACTCTCATATTTTCTTGGCCAGCAACATACCGTCAGCCAAACACAAAGCGGGCGCCGTATCGGTACTGTAGCCCCAAAACATAACCCTCGTTCACTTTCAAAGAGGTCGCAAGCGCACAAACGAGTCTACACGGCCGAGCCAGAGGGCATAACCACGCAAGCTCTGTACTACATGCCCGCTCTGAACACAAATACATACACCGCTAAATACCTCGAGCATCGTAGCGATACCGAAGTAAAATCGAGCACCACAATTTTACGTCATTACACGGGTCTATTACACAACGACGTTTGCGCATAGTAGCGCGGGCATCTTTACCCCGAGGGCGCTTTCAAGTGTTTTGAAGTATCTCAGGCAATTCACAACTAGAACATGGTCCGCTGGCTGCCCTCATCCTGCACTATCTCTCCTCTAAGAACTTTCTCACACTACTACAGGTCGGAGTTTCGATGGCCGATGGAAGCCCCACCCCCCCAGCTAGATACACCAGGAAACCGTTTTGATGGTTCGCACGGTTTATCGCACCGCTTACACCACGAGACTTGCCAAGTGCCTGGCGCCACTTCTTTGAACAGGCAGATGCAAGGAGCTTTCCATTCAATTCCATCCAATCCAAGGGCCACTCTCAAAGGCCCGGCCGGCTTCCTACCCGAGAAGGGATGCTCCGACTTGGTGGTGAATAAAATAACTTCTGTGCCATGTGCACCCGGACAAAAAGCCACGAACGACCTTCTTCGATGGCGGTGCAAAACCCTTTCATGCTGGGCAGAGCACGCCGTAGATAGCCACTCTCCCACCCGCTTTCTACTTTTCAGGCGACGACTGTTTTTCGGGCAAGGCGTCGATGGGAGAAGCATCCCAGGTGCCAACGACCTTGAACTCCGCCAGCAATCCCGCCGTGTTGAACACGCCCCAGAATGACTTGTCGATCACCTCCTTGATAGTCACGGCTCCCTCGCTGAATTTGTACCTGGTCTTGCCATCGTCTCCTGCGAAGGCAGTTCGACGAGTGGAACATTACAGAATGGCAGTGTGTTAACTCGGAAAACGGCCCTTTGTGGAACCAGGAGGTACAAGTATTGTATCAGCGACATGGATTGGTGAGGTGTTGCAGCAGCGGATTTTGGTGACCCCTGTCACGATCTCCAGCCGGGATGGGAAGCGGAGCTTACATGATCGGTTGAAGGTACGGAAGGTAGAACACCCGGACATGTTCCGTCCCTGAGCCAACCGGTACTGCATTCTCCTCGGCCGTGCAGCAGCGACAAGACGATCTGTCACGACTACACATGCCCCCACTGAAATAGCATAACAATGAGCGAAGAAACTCGGCGCCAAAAATTGAGGGGGGTTGAATCACTCGTGACGGAATGGAAAAGGTATCCCAGCGACCACAAGGCCCGCAACGTTCACTGTATCCCTCCGACGCTCTAAGACAGCCCCGCCTAAAACCAAACCTGCTACTACCACAAATAGCAACCAAGATAGCTGTGTATCTTCCCACGACTTAAAACATACAATTTTATGAATCACGGTACCTTTGAGGGCATTGCAAGAAGCGCTCTTCTGGGAAAACACCCCACCTTTGATGGTTCGGATGAAGAACAGGCACAGATGTGTGGTAGGTGGCAGGAATCAATAGTTCTGGATGTGAAACCTTTGTTCACCTTCGATCTTGTCGATGAAACCGTTCATGAAGATCCTCCCGTCAGGAACCGCCGATAACCCTTCCACTTCTGCGATGAACGTGATGAACTCTTTGTCTTCGTCATCGTTTCGATCGGGTTCCCAGACGTACCCCCTGCAAATCGGCGCATTGTGAGGAGGCGCAGACACGTGGATTGGAGACGGGGGCAAAGCTCGTCTCGGCCTTGAAGGGCCCATTGCTCGAGAGCGAAATTCCCAGGAAATTTCAACACCGGGGAAGATGCAACAGCCCGGGCCACGATCTAGGCTGGAGGTCGTCACCCAATAGCGTCCATGCACATCTACCATTTCCTAGGAATACCGTATTATACGCTCGTCGTACAACTTCGCAGCGCAAGCAATGATTGTCGGTGGGGCATTCTTCATGCAGACGCCCGATGGCACGTGCCACCTAATCGTTGATCTCAATTTTAGCGGTTTTCAAACCTGTAGTCGAGATTGGAGGCCGCATGAACATGCATGCCCTACTGGGCACATTTTGCATTGCCGACACTAGTGTTACGTCTTGCGTAGCGCATGCGCTGAACCTAGTGGGTGGTGCCGACCTGGATACCAGTGGGTTTTCAGGTTGCGTGTCGTCATAAGTTTCAATGCAGAATTGCGTGTCTTCCCAACAGGCTTTCACGTACGTACCGTTTCACGAAGCGATTGTCGCTTTCGACTTCGAGAATGAAATCCTCTTCAGCGAACTTGCAGCAGAACACCAAACGAACCGGTACTCGGTTCTTGTCACTCTTCACACCGCGAAGATCCATCACGATCTTCCAACAGCTGTCGAGCAGAGTCTCTGGAAACGGAACCACCTGCGAGCATTGACAAAGAACGTAAGTTCGGGATTTATACTCTCGTCTTGACCTTTATCATGCACAAGTCCGGCTGTCGAACGCGTCGTTACACTCGATAGCACGCTGTTCTAAAGCAAAACAGATGTCCCAGATCCCGAACTGCATGTGCACACGTACAGTAGTCTAGCGCTGTTGACCTTGATGTACAGCGGAAATCGAGTAAATTTGGATGATTCCCAACAGTAACACCATGAAGCCGTCCTACTTGTGGAGAAGGACATGTACGATGGATGCTGTGGAATGTCGAACATTTGGAGGAAATCACTCCAAATTTACCAGTAGTTTACAGTCTACAATTCTACAAAGCGAGCTTCAAGCTTCAAGAGCAGTTTAGGCCTGTCCTCCATCGGCCGTTTTATTTTCGATTTAGATACACAAACTTTATTTCTATACTAATTTCAAGTAATTCCACCTTCTTATTCTCCGTCATACAAGCAAAACGGCCGATGGAGGACAGGCCTAAGAGCAGTCGGGCTGTTCGACGCCCGGCCTCTAATTGCGCCGCATGTCTTCGAATGTTCCAAGTTCCAAGCGGCGCCTCCATGTCTCGGTCCCGGATCCTACTACTGTGTAATAGTGCCGCAAGAACAAGGAAGACTTCGAGGACCATGTTCTTCTACCATATGTTCTCATGAAAACACGCACCGCGATGCCGTGGACCACACATGTAGGCTAATGTAGTGCCTCGTTGTCAGGGTACAGACAGCGACATCCAAGTGCGTATGTATGCAATGCAAACCGGCGACCTATGTACGTCTTCTGACGTGCACTCACCCGCTTCGGTTCCGCTAGTTCGGCATTGGGTCGCCTGGTTGCCGCTGCATTTGCCTCCAGTTCTTTGAGCTCTTCACGTATCGCAGCAGCGCGCGCCCTAAGCGTTTCGGGCGAAGGTGGTATTCGACCGTCCTCCCCGCTATGTAATTGAGTTGTTACTCGTTTTCGTGCAGCGATCGGAGGCACTGCCATGAAGGAGTGAGTGGGTGTCAGCCATAGCACTAAGCAGGCACGGGACAGTAGGCCCATGGCCACGGGGGTGAGCGGTGATACCGCAGCGAGTGGCTCCGCGGCGTTTGGGTCTGGTGGGATACTGCTATATACGCATCGCGCGTAGATGACACAGCACTCATTGTCTCATTGTTGCCGCTGAGCTGAATAGAGCCAGCTCGTATCTCGGAGTGGTACCCATGTATTTCCCCAACCGCCGTGCCCCGCTACTTCGCGGTGTGTTGCGGAGCACACTCGAGAATCGTCTGTTAGCGCGATGGCCACACGAGGTTTGCTACGATATTGTGGGCGAAGGAGTGCAACGAGACGGCTCTCTTACCACCACAAAGGTGGCACGTCGTGCGAACCTGACGAGGAGCTGCACCCGAACTGGAGGTATGTACGTATGTACGCTACTGCTGTACAGCAGCAGGTGTCAATGCGTCCGCATATCGATATGTACAGCACCAGTTTGGCACCCCACAACTAACTGCTGTTAATACCGCGTGGCATCTGCCGGACAAAAAAAAGGTGGCATGGTAACGGTAGTGCACTGCTCCATTTCATCGAATGTATCGGGGACAAAGGATAAACAGCAGTGAAACGTATTTGCTCCTAGGCATCAGACGCATGCTACAAGGAGAAGCACCAGGCCGGCCATGTGGCCCACACCCGTTCTGGAAACGATGATTCAGTTCCCACGTGAGTTTGTACGTTGAAGGGAATAGAGGCTCCTCTAAGTTTCCATCGGTGTGAGTGATCAGAACGTCTCACGTTCGTGACCTTTGCCCCGGTCTACAGGGATAGAATTACGCCGCATTGTCTCGTTCCACAACAAGCAACAGCTGGCCCGCTCAGCGCGGTGCCCACAGCCGGCTACTGCTGTAAGAGGCTTGACACACTAGCCCAGCGGTTGTTTGCTTTCCCGCGAGACCCACACCCTCTGGCCTAGGGATGGAAACTGACCCTATCCCGCAGAACCCTTAACCTCTGGTCTAGTGATGGAAACTAACTTCATCGCACAAAATCCATACCCCCTGGCCTAGATTGTTATTAGTGATGTGTGTTGAAACGCACGGTACAGCTTGACGCTACCCCTAGAAACTGTTGTAACCCCTAGCCTCTCTTCTCTTTGTTTCTACCTGTATCGACGGCAGTGGACTGGAACGGCGGCTGCAGTCTCGCGTTCCCCGCGAAAAGGGTCACGGCGTGCCGGAGGGCCGGACAAACCTCAAGCCGTCGGAGGAGGACTTCTGGCACAAGGCGGGAGTGTACGACTATTCCGAGGCATCCTCGTCAAGCCCTGAAATTGCAACGAGAGAGCCCGCTTGTGGTGAGCAGCACTCGGGGGTGGGTGTGGTGTTGGTGCATGGGCTGATGCTTGAATCAGAAGTTTCACGTGTGTCTGTCTCAACGTGCCGTCCCTCACGAGCACACACACTAGTTCATGGAATATCTGCGTTGAAGACACTCACTTACTTTGCTACGATAAGCTGCGCTTTCCCGTCTACCCTCCTGAACTGACCTCTCGTGACCTTTCTTTGCCTGACGCAACTCTTGTGCCACCACGCTTCTCTGGGACGCGCAGCGAGGCTGTCGACGGTGAAGGTCTCCGCCGAAAACGTTCCTCGAGTAGTCGCCCTCTACAAGACGTCTGTTGCACCAGTGCTGCAGGTCGGTTGTTGTCGTGCTTGCTTGTCTGTAAGACTCGCGGATCGAGGGCCGACAGTTCGCATGATACGCGGCACACGGAAATACTCTGGTGTTGCACGGCGAAACGCCTGGAAAGCACGATCTGTTTTGAAAATTTAGCGGAGAATAGCATTGCTCGCTGTGCCCGTTCTGCCCGGTGCGAAGTAGCATTGTTCGTCTCCTTTTCGCTGCCAAACTCGCTAGAGAGCATATGCAACGCTGGGACACACCTAGCCGCGCAGCAGCATTCGGTGACTTGGCCTACAGGCGAAGGGGTTTGTTGGTGCGCGAACGTGGCCGTAGGAATGTGACTGCTGTGCTGCCTAACGATCCTATGCGTACCACATCAAGTAGTAGCGCATCCCCTGCAGTCGGTCTGCTGCGGGCATTTTTTTCTCTCGTCTAAAGGGCTGTTGACCAGTCGCGCGTCGTGTACATCCGTTTTTCGGTTCAGGTGAAGGGGTTCTGTGGCGCTCAAGTATTTTCAGACAGAGCTGCGGGAACGGTGCAGTCTCTTACTCTGTGGCAGTCATGGGGAGATCTCGAGGAAGTTGTGGGCAACAGCCGCTACGCAAAGGTAACGCTGCCTTAATTGGCCTTGATTAGACGCACATTGGGAGGAGGGAAAGACATGTGTGCACTCTTGTACTTTTGCATGGTGTGCGCCAGGCTTGACTCGCTGCTGCTGGTCTTGGTGGTCCACAATAGCTTGCCGCGATAACGAGTGCGGGTGCTTTCGGAAGAAGGTGCTCGACGAGCCAGTCTCACCAATACCCTTGATGACTGCTTGTGTTCCGGAGTTAGTCTTGACACGACCTTGCTGGATGGGTGAGCGTCCCGCCCGAATCCAGCTTACAATTACATCTGCGTCATTTTATCGATAAGCAGGTGCTGTTGTTGGCACCATTCCTCCTGCGGTTGACCACGGATTCGTTTTGTGTGGTTGTATATTTCAGGCGATGCGTTCCTTGGAAGGGCTGATCGAAGCTCCACCGGACGTTGTGGACACCGAGGTGGCATGCTCCATCCTCCCCACCACTGGAGGCGGAGACGTGTCGAGCGGCGACTCATAAGGAGACGCATTAGGATTTTTTCTGTTGAAGTTTGTTCCATACTTCGTTGAACAAGTTTACGCAGTGGCGTGCTCTTGTTGCAAAGGTTTTCGTACCCAACTTGTCCCACTAGTTTCGGATAAAGGCTGGGAGAATCAAGCCGTTCGTGTGCCAGTCCCTCTTCGTCCAGGGGTAGTTTTGTTGTTGTGAATGTTGAAGAGTCCAAAGCGTTTCCCACTTTTTTTTTGTGCGCGTGCGATTTTCTTTCTTGATTTTCAAGCCGTACATACGTAGATTGCGCGAAGACTTGTTGTTGTTGTTGTTGTTGTCTTCACGTTAAACCGTATGTCAGTTGCTAAATGCCAAAATCTAGCAAAGACTCTCAGCCCGTGGTCACGAAAGTGCTATATTAGAGCCATCTGAGGATCTAAAGAACACGCACACATATAACGAGAAAAAGGTTACATATATGCGAAGGACACGAATGCGGCTCGGAACGACTGGGAAGCTAAGAAGGTTAACAGTAGATGGTGCATGTCGTGAAGTGCTTCCGATGAGCGAGGTGGGCTACACGTATGCGTAACAGCGGTTGCGCTCCCCATTTTTTCCTTGGGAAATTTATTGGGCGGTGTATTACTGTACCCTCTACTTCCGTCTCCGCTGTTTCTTCGTTGTTTCTGCCTGCTTACTACACTGCAAATAGTATTCAAGCTCTCTTCTGGCCGGGGCCTAGTAGAGCTATGTCATTCATAGCGGACGCTCCATTCAATGCATCGATGGATGGCTGGAGTAGACATGTTGACATACGTACGCCATCACAGCAGTTTTTGTCGTCCGGAAACGCTTTGTCAGGGACGGGAAGGTGTATACAACGCAAATTATGATGGATGCCTGGACTACGTCTTCGCCCAAGACTTCTTCCTCAAACCTCGCCTGAGTTACTGATAGTCTAGGCTACAGCTGCTGTGGCAGCAGTGGCCTCAGACGGCGTGAAACAGCTTAGATAGGAAGAGTCACTAACAGAGGGTAAAAACTGACCGAGCTACTGGAGCGTGGAAGAATCTCCGGAACCCCATACCCCCCTCGTAGCGGGTGATATATATCGACCGCGATCCCCCCTCGTACGGGCGAGCGCGGAGAGTATCGGGCCGAGTAACGAGAACAACAGCGAGACGGACGGATAGCACGGTGTGTGCGTGCACAAACAGCAGGGACCTTGAACGTGAGGCAGATCTGAAAGCTTGTGTTGACTGCGTGGTGAAATAGAGAACGCGGTACAGGCCGGTGCTGTTCGCTCTCTGCTGCACACCGCTCTCGCTGCTCTCAGCGCGTGTCGTCGTGTGAGAACATCTCCTCAGCCTGCCACTGCTGTATCAACGCGTAGTGAAGTTTCACGGCACACCGTTGTTACTCCAAATGGGATGGTACAGACAGAACTCTGAACATATATTGGCACGGCAGTGTTGCACGTTGTGTCGTGCATCCTTCCATTCCCATCTTAGACACCTGTCGATCGTCGAAGTGTTCGTTGTTCATGGCGTACGTACAGACGGCAGTATTCGTTGGTAGGTTGCTGTCACCAGAGCAGCGCCAGGGTCGGTATTTGCCTATCTCTATTCCATGCCATTGTGCCCACTTGAACAAGCTGCTGTAAGCGTATGTGCATGGCGCACATCCCTCTGACTGGTTAGATTCCCGGAATCCTCATTGCTTAAAGAAGTAGCTTTTATAGCTGGAGGACCGCCGTGCCTTTCTGGAAAACAAGACTAAATGAACTCACCCAGAAGGACTAGCGTTCCAGATGTGATCACAGCAGCAGGCGAAAGGCATGTGGTGAAGTTTTGTCAGCAAGTGGAGGGAAAACCGGCTGGAAACTGGGCTGATTTTTGAGGTTGTTGAAGCCTAGACTACACTGAGTATGATGCACGTGATACCAGCTGGTGCTAAGAACAAAAGCGTCCTATTCTGCTGCTGTACTGGGTCAAGGAGAAGAATGTCGGCGAGAACCCGCCGTCGTGTCGTGTGTTGTGTACAGAAGGTGGCGTTCACAGAGAACACGACGCCGTGTCGTGTGACAGCTTACTGGTTTATTTACTATTTCCCTCCTTTACACTGCAATATACCCCACCCTTCGGTCACGCCCCGCACTGCCCATACAAATTGCCGACACATGGTCAAGGCGGAGGTCTGTGTTTGTACGTTGTATTTGGAACGGCAAGGCCTGCCTTCTGTGTTGTTATCGCTGACAAAAGGTTTGTTGTTTTACTGCGGTCGTCGTGCTGTCAGTCGTGAAAAGCAGCGCCCAAGCAGGGAACGGCGCGCAGCAAGCATGCCGTTGCTAGAGGAAGTAGATCCGGAGGTGGGAGATTCGGCAGAGGGTGCGGAGGGCCTGAAGGCTGCTCACCGCCGCAGGAGAGCGTCCAAGAAAAAGAAGGGGGCAGATGTGAGGGCATGCTGGTGCTGCTGTTGCCTAGACGTGTTTGCCTTGAGGCACGTGTTGGGTGTGTGCACATACGAGTCTGCTTGACTGAATCGGTTTATGCTGTCTTGAAGGCTGTCTATCTTGCGTGGTGCGTTGAAGAGTTATGAGTCCACCATCGGTGGTTATTTCGACTGCTGACCCTCCTGCTGCTGCTGGCGTTTACGCTTCTAGAACCAGTTGCAGGTTTACTCATCCCCAGTACCATGGGTAAACAAGTTCTCGCTTGTCTCTCATGTCGAACAGCAGTCCACCACCCCGCAAACTCACCCGCTTCTGTCGGGCCCATCTCCTCCTCGCCATGCTGTCGGTACTGCTGTGTACTACCTGCAGGGAGCAGCTGCTGCCGGTGTAGCCGCCTTCAGGGTTTTTTTCGAGGCGGCGGTGGTGTTGGGCTTCGGGTTCTGGGCGAGGTCGAAAGGAACTGACTCTAGGTCTAACTCTTGCAAGATGACGTTCTCGCGGCCTGAGTACGTTCACCTCCCCGTTGCCGGATATCCCACCGGGGAAGCCGCGGGGGACGAGTTGCCCGGATACCAGTACCGCCTGATGCGTTACATGGATAGGGCGCTTCCTGCTAGCGAAAAGGCCGACCCTCTTAAGCCGGCGGGGGTCCCCGTGCTGTTCGTGCCGGGGCATCTTGGCAGCTACGAGCAGGTGCGACCAAGCACACGGACAAATGAAGGCGAGGGTGTGCTAAATACTACAGGCCTGCTTGCCTGCCCATCTCTCTCTGCGTGGAGGGAACACGCACGAGCAGCGCGCGAGAGAGTGGAGGGCGTTCCCTCAACAGAGTGCAAGTGCCGTTTTTCGCTGAATATCGTGGGATGGCGTGGAATAACGTGTCAAGTTTGATGGGGGAAGAAAATCGCCAAGGAGGATCATTTGGTGTGCCCTGTTTGGTGCCGTTGTCTCCGGCGGGCACACACTCAATTTCCAAGTCATTCTCAACACTCTGAATAATGCCGGTCCGGTATAGTGCAGGTGAATTTTGTGGGGACATACCGGCACTAATTTTTACAGGGACCTCTGCCTTACCCGTTTTTTTCGTTTATGACCGCCTGTTGCTTGCCATCAAGTGTTGGCTTGACTGCGATAGTGCGATAGTGCGTTACTGCGGTAGACTACCGTATGCATATGTTGCATGAGATACCACATCTCCTGGATCGATCTCCAACGCTCGATTGCTCTGCACCGAAAAGAGTGACAGCGGTGCCGAAAATGTCTGTGCTGGAACCGTCTCGCCGAGATATCCCCGAAAACGTAACTGTGGCATCTTCGTCGTCGTGAAGCAGGCAGAGCTTTGAAAATCGGTCAACTTGGTGTGGTATATCATGTCACCTCTGGTAGCCCGAAATGTGTTGAGGAGAGACTCGGTCGTTTGGGGTGTCTTGAGCTACGATTGGCCGGTTCGCGCTCAAAAATGCAGCAGTGCTTTTATTCTGCTGCGTAGACTCGTTGCAGGCCTGCCTCTACGCGCTGAGGTTGCTGGTGTCGTTCAATAGGCTCTTGTGTACTCGTGCTATTCTACATATGCTACACATTTCATTTTCGACACTGGGTTGTTGTGTTTGTCGTTGTGTTTTAACAGGCACGTTCCCTGGGGTCTCAAGCAGCAGGGGTAAAAATGTCGGGCCCGATGCGTCGACTAGACGTTTTTTCGCTGGACTTCCTGGAGGAGTGCACTGCCTTACACGGGTCTTTGGTTTGGAGACATGTGAGCACACACCGTCGGCACCTGTCGCTAGACCTGATCCACGGCTTTCAAATCAAAGCTCCGGATGGTGCACGAGCATGGATTGTTTGCTATTATTCGACCGCGAATGTCGCGAACAGGGGAGCTACAACTGCTTGTGGCTTGTCGTGCCTCAGGTTGCATATGATGTTAGGATAAAACACGAGGTGGCCAGCATTCTGTGAACCACCCATCCTTGTCCAAGGGCAACTACCTGCTTTGTTGTGGTATGTATTTGTACTGTACTCTAGTGTACTATAATCTTCCAACCCGTTAAGAGCCTCCCGCTTGTGTGGGTCGCTTTTGGTTCTGCTAGAATGCAAAATGGCAGTGTCCTTGGCGTTTCTGAGACAGACTCGTGTCGTGTCGTATCATGTCGTCTCTTTGGCGCTGTTTCGCTCAGGGTCATGTTGCTTTCTCAGAGTGGCTATGCTAGTGCGGTGGTCATAGTGTTTGTGGCCAACGTATTAGAATGCCAGGTACTTACGTTTTTCTCAGACGAGACACACGAGCAATAGCGTTGCTTGTGGCTTCATTTCAACAAGGTGTGCGCAATAATGGGGGATGGAGCCCTGAGTCCACATGGCCAAGTGTTGACCATGCTCGGAGCTTCGCTGCCCTCTTGGGCTGCCCTCTTCGGTGGTAGGGTTTATTTTTGTAGATGCTGCTGCTGCCGGAGCTCTCCCTCACCTTGTCTTGACGTGTACGTTTTTCGTTTGTCAGGCGGAGTTTTTGAACCACGCTGTGGAGGCCATCCTTGCCTTGTACACCGGCAAAGGCGGAGTGCCGTTCGCGGATTCAGTGATGGTCGTTGGCCATTCTTTAGGAGGGGTTGTGGCCAGGTGAGGTTAGGGCTGGGCTCGACGAAACTCTTATCGCTTGCACAGAAGCACCCCTTCTGAATTTTGGGGGGGTTGTTTTCATACTTGTCTACCATGCTATGTGGTACCTGCCCTTTATCGTCGGCTGGGACGTAGTTGTTCTCATCAACCCCTTTCGGGCTGTCCATCTCCCACGATGCGCGGCTCGTGCAGGCTTGTGCTTGTGAATGAACATTCAGTAATGCAGTATTCCTTGGAGGGTAGTATCACCAGTTTGTGTGATGTGTG